CAATGAGGGTGGTGAAACACTGGAACAGGTTGCCCAGAGAGGTAGTAGAGGCCCCATCCCTGGAAACATTCAAGGTCAGGTTGGACGGGGCTCTGAGCAACCTGATCTAGTTAGCGGTGTCCCTGCTCACTGCAGGGGGGTTGGACTAGATGACCTCTAGGGGTCCCTTCCAACCCAAAACATTCTATGATTCTATGATTATGCATAGTATGAATAAGTAGTTTTGGTTTTACCAGCTCCAAAAGAAAGCAAGATGAAGCAAAGAGCTCAGCTGGTGATACTGTAAAGAAATTTTTAAGATTAAAAGTAAGAGCACACACCACCAAGAGGATCCTTCAAAAGGAAAGTCAACTCAATTTTCTTGCACTTGTAACTCAAATACATGAACTGGAGCACAAACTGTTTTTGAAATACATTAGGGGAAAAAAAAAAAAAAAACAAAACCACCACCAAACACTAAAACCAGACCACAGCAAGGCTCTTTAAAAAGAAAATTAGGATTTCTAGAGAAATAGTGCTTACACCACCATGGTGTGCATGTTAATATACAAATGTTGGCAGAAGAATAGAGGTCTCAGAGATGTTGAGTTCTTATAAGCCTCCTGAAAACAGACAGATAGAGGAAATAAATCTATTACAGCTTCCACTAAGAAAAAAGCTCCAGAGGGAGCCCCACTGTATTACTGGATACCAAAGAGTCCACATGGGGCTTTGGTGTCTAACGAGCTGTAAACAAACGAAGTCACAAGAAAAGGCTTCATTAGTTCTGCTCCTTATAGAACTACTAGATGTGCTTTTTAATGCATTATTAATTCATTGAACTCATTGCCAAAAGATGGAAGCTAAGGACTTAATTCAAAAAAAATGAATTCAGGGAGAAAGCTAGCAACCTTTATGTTTGAGAAGTTACAGGATACAAATTAAAGCCTAATTTTTAGGACAGTAAGATAATCACAGGAGGCAAAGAAACAACCTTCTTTATGGGCACTTTGTTCCACAGCATCTGGTGCCAACCCTCTAGAGAAACAATTTTGCAATATACAAACTCTAATCCCAGAATCACGCTGCAAGAAGTAACTTACATGTGTCTCAGAAATTCTCTTATGTGATTTGAACCAAATCCTGCTCAGTCAAGCCCTCTCTCACAGGATACAAGTGTGACTGCAAGTTTTGAGACCTGGTCACTGACCTAGCACTCATTTTCCATGCAGGATTCATATGAACTCAAATTTTTCCAATTATAATAAATCAAAGTTGTCACATATCAGGTCACTGATATATCTTCATTCTACACATCATCTCTTTTTCTCTTTCTAGTCCTTGTGATCATTTGGAGCATGAGTTCTACTTTATCCAGAGATATTTTTTTTTGGATAGTGCTTCATTCTGGAGAAGCCACAACTTTTGAGACGAAATTTTCTATTTTAACTAGTCCCTGGCCAAGCTTGTGCAACCAGCACAAAGTACTCAGGCAATTCCCTTCGTGTCACTGAGCACTTGGGGTTTCAGACTATATGTGGACGATGACAAGAAGTTGCATCCTCAGATAAAAAACAACACACCCATGCTTTCTGCTCGTGTGGCAGTGATTTCAAGCACAGTTTGACGGACGGCCAAATTCTGGCTTCATTCACAAGAGTATGACTCAAGTTCTCTCAGGGTGAACCCAGATGTCATCTCACTGAAAAATATGCAAATGAAGCACAGAACTAAAGTCCGAAAATTTCAATTATCCCGATTTACCCCACCTAAAAATAAAGGGTGTATGTGTTGGAAGACATCTCCTCCCAATGGAAAGTATCTGAATAATGAAGAATTTCATTGCTTATTGCTCTTCCTTTTTTTCTTCTCTGATGAGTCCCTGATCATTTGCCTCATTGCTCCTATGTAACAGCACATTCTGGTAGATGAGAGGTTTTAAAACAGGATTACCACTTTGGAAACTGCTGCTAGCTAGCATTTTCTAACACATTCCCCACACACACAGAAACACACACCCTGCAAAAAAAAAAAAAAAAAAAAAAAAAATAACACATTCCCCCCACACCCAAAAACACACACCCTGCAAAAAAAAAAAAAAAAAAAATCACTTCTACATTGTGTTTGAGACAGACTAGTCGCCCATAAGACTGAGTCCTTCAGAAACAATTTACTGTAATAAAAATTGGTCCACCAGCATCATATTCATTTTACTGGTGCTGGTGAAGCAGGAAATATTTTCTCATTCTACTATCTTTATTTTGCAAACACGATAAAACAATTTCTCTCAAATGCAGTGCAAAAAGTCCAAGCAAGACCAAGTCCAAGTCCCAGAACACAAGAAGAAAAAGCGATTCTCCTATGGAACATGTATTAAATGCTCAGTATTTAAATTCCAGATCCAAGAAGATCCAGTTTTTCCCCCTCACTTGGAACATTTAAAACAAAATAAAGCAAACAAACAAAACCTAAGCCAGCTTGCACATATTTTTACTTCTGGATAAATATTAAGAATTCTATGAGAAATCTGGAACACTAAGTAGGTATTGCCCTTGGCTGCACATTTCCATTTGTTTTGAGTTAATTCATCAGTAGGTCAAACCAATGGAGAACTAGATTTACACTGAAAGAGTAACACTTCTTGTAAAATGTGTGTGAGTTGCAAATCGAGTGATAACATTCAGAGCTGCCACACAGAGTCAGGAAAGTTTCACACAACGTTTGGGAAAAAATCAGAAATAGTCCAATCTCCGGCAGAGCCACCATATGGAGTTTACTGTAGTAACATACGTTTTGGCCAGTCAGCATAGCTCTGCTGCCAACAATGGTAGACTGAACTACTTCTTCACAAAATATATTCCTACAGTCAAACAGTAAAACCTAACCAGAAAGGCTCAGACAGTTCAACTGAACCTTTATAGTAATGAACAAAAGAAAACCATCACACTTCAACAAACACTTCAACATCCACAGCGTTAAAAAAAAGATGAAATAAGAATGCACATGCCTATGGCATGGGATGCAAAACAATACTCAAACCGATTTAGACAGTCATGAATTTATCTGTATCGGATCTCTTGCTATATTATGAGCCTTTGTTGTCAGTGTGGTCAAAAAAATCAAATAGGCAGCTATCTGTGGGAGATCCTTCAACTTCCTTAAGCCTCTCAAGTTACTGCATGCCTAATTTATTGAAGTATAAATAGAAAATAGGAAAGCAGAGACAAGACAAGTTCCAAATGAAGGCTGATGACTGCCATGCCACCTGGCATGGACATTAGCTACCTCACACTCTCTACCACATCAGAACATACAAACGGTAGCAGTGGAAGAGCTGATATACTGTAAGGATGTAACTTTGCTTGCCTTAACGAATCATGTGCCTACAGCCTACACCAATCCAAGGCCAGGTGAGAGCCAGGATCTATCTGGGGTAGCTTACCGGACTGCCCCCACTGCCCATTTCTCCTCTGCTCCCTTCCCCTGTCCCTTGCCAGCAGCTATCTGGGCACAACGTTTGGCTAGATAACACTCCTACTGGCTACAGGACTTCACAGTGAAGTCACCAAGGAGCTTATGCATACTCTCCTCTGCCAGAAAGGTTGAAACTATTTCACCCATCACAGCTGTTTCCACTGTGAACATCAGCTTAAGAGATATTTCAATTGCTTTGCATGTTTTTAAATCAACAAATTTCACACATTTCGCTATGACGACTTAATTTAGCTGAAGTATCTCAATGCCGCTTCTTAACTTAAAAGTTCTTGATAACTGCTTACATTTCCACTGTAAATCCAGCTCCAGCTGCTTACTGCATGTTTCAAAACGCAGATGCCTCTGAAATCTGGTCCTATAAACCAAATGCAAACTCTTTACAGTCAGTGCAGAGACTGACACTGACTACAGTAAGTTTTGGATCAGACTCTACAGCTACGTCTTTTTATCCTAGTGATATTCTCAGCTGTCAAATTCTTTTCCTTTGAGTTGAACTGAAGATTGTCAATCAAATTCTTCTTAAAGTTATCAGTTTAGAACCTGTAAAGAGCTTAAGTGTTCAGACCTGAAGAAAATGGGAGAAATAGCAGAATAAAATGTATTAGAAAGGCCATCAACTTGCTGAACCCACTATTGACTTTCCCTGAGTATAGGATGAAATCTAGAAGGCTTAATTGATTTCTGCATCTGACATTCTTACCTAAACTTCTAATTTAAAAATAATGGCTAAACCCACAGAATTTTACTTGCAAAGAAGGAATCAACGCTGGTAGTTGGGAGCCCATTACTCTTGGGAGTACATGCACTTGTTCACATATGCCAACACCTACGATCTGGAGTGCACTCACCAAAGACGTAGTATAGCTAATTAAAAGCAGCAATGAGCAAGACTGCTATCTGTCAAGGCTCCAGCCTGGATTATATCATGCAGCCACAGGGCTTTTGTTACCTTTGGCTTCTTACATGTGCTTATCCACATGTTCCAGGCTGCAGCTCCTGTAGAGGGGTGCTCTACAAACAATAGCTACTACCACAAACACAAAACACTCTTAATTCCAAAAGGTGCCTCTTAAGGCCTCATGGTATTTAAGAAGACAGAAAAGAAACAAAGACCATCTGTTACTGCAAACTAAATAACAATTATGTTATCTATACATAAGGAAAACGACCAAAAACTGAGCTGTCATACACAACTACATCCCAAAAACATCATTTATAGTGCCATCTTCATTACCATTTTCCTCTCTCTCTCTCTTTTTTTTTTTTTGTTGAAAACACTAAATAGTATAGAAACCTTCCTGTAAAATAGGAATTTGATCTTTATTAACATCTTGTAGAAAAAACAAGACAAACGAAGTTTTTAAAATAACCATGCTGGATAGGAACTGAAGTACATATTTAAACTAAATACGCAAGATGACTGAGATACTTGTATGCTGATGCAGCTCTTCATTGGAAGAAAAAAGAAAACAAACAAACAAAAAGCCCCACTAATACAAGTAATTTAGCATTCCTTACCTTGGAACCTGCCAACATAGTTCTCAGCATTTTTGTTCCTTTTCCAATACCAACCACTGCAAAGACAGAAGGAGAAACGCCACTTCAAAACCAGCTCTGCAGTTCGCTTATTCAACACCATTCACTACTAAATATTATGCTAGTCAGAAATACAGCCTTTCATGCTCTGTTAGCGTATTAAAGAGAGTCAATGCTTGTGAGAAAGTATCTCTGATGTTTAAACAACATGGGACTAGTGAGAGGAAAAAGTCTAAAGTAGAAGATAAATAAGCTTCACCTATTGTTAAAATGCTTTAATTCAACCCCTAGATTTATTTATCTTTTAATCACCAAAGAAATGGACAGTGCAATTAATGCTGTCTCTGGTTTGATGAAGGCTATGGCTCACTAATAATGAATCTAGCCTTCACTGTAACTAAATAGCCCTTTTAAAGGTTGATAGTGACCAAGAGTAATACAGCCAAGATAGCATAATGAAATTGTTTATCAGGCTTACAGCAAGAAAATAAAATAATCAAAAGGTCCAACTGCCTCTGTCAAAAATCTTTTATAATCAAACCTTCCCATTACTGTGGATGTTCTGAACACTGTCTTTTCAGTCTTAAATCAGTATTGTGGAAAACAGCCATCAGTCAGCTTTTCACAAGACAGAAAGAGAGCTCTATTTTATATTTTACTTCAAAGCTTTTTAGAAGGTGCTTTCCTTGAATATGCTTTCCTATTGATTTTCTCCACATACAGCAACCCAAAGAAACAATGAAAACTGTAGAAGTAAATTAGTTTTGTGTACAACTCATGGAATACGTAGCAGCTTATGTCCTCGATTTTAATAAAAGTACAGGAGTTAAGGGAGCGTGCAGGAAATCAGCTTTGGGCTAACCAGGAGCCAGTACCAAAAGCATCAAACTGACAATAAACTTTCTTTTTCAAAACACATACTTGTGCTCTAATGCTCTCAATCTTTACACTCTGAGACTCATTAGATTACTTCTTATTCTGGATTACTTCTCTGCTTGCTCCTGAGGGTTTTTAGTCACACATGCCCTTGTGCGCCTTTAGTTCAGCTTGTTCCTGTCATATTTGCCAGACAGGAAAGAGCTGCAACAAGGCTGAGAAACAGAGACAAGCACACAGATAAAATTTTATAACCAAGCACTTTTCTTGCATCGTGACGACATCATTGGTGCTTCAACACAACTGCTGAGCTGAAATGTGCTGAAGAACATAGAGAGATTCAATAGGATAATTTTAAAGCGACATGGAATGCTTTTGTGAACAAGACACTAACAATTTTCCCCATTAATCATCAGCTTGTGTAGCATGTAGACTTATTGAAAGTCGACGTAAACTAAAGTTGCCAGACTACACATAGCATGACAAGGTTTAACTGAGTTTTTAATTTTCATACTTTTTCATCTTGTCTTTTACAATGGAAGCATAATTCATAACTGCCATATAGAAACAAGCCAAATATTTACAATTCCCATTGTGCAGCAAGAAACACTAAACTGGAACCACAGCCCTAGACTGACACTAAAAGAAGATATTCACTAAGACTTGATACACAGTTCCTTGCTTCTTGTATCTAAAATATGAGACCTAACGTTGAGAAGTAGAAGTAGAGTCCTAGCTCCCACCACCTTCCAAATGCAATGGAAGCCACAGATGGGGACAGACAGAAGATCTTCATCTCAGAAAGCAGTCGCTCCAGGCTCCTACCCATGCAGGGCCATCACATGCCCCCTGGTCTCTAAGTTGCCTTTCACTCACATGCCACAGATCACTGACCTCTGCCTCCAAGGTCCTTCCTCATCTACGTTTGTTGTCAGTAGGAAAATAAATATACAAGTGTATTTTCTGATAAAAAGCACCGCCCAGTTATTTGTGGCACACTCAGTAAGACTCTGTATCAACTAATTCTCATGAACAAAGTTATAAATATGCAGTAAATAAAATTTGGGTAACAGCAGTATCTATCAAGAAAGGTTAGATGTTTCAGAAAAATAAATATTTCTATTATCCTACTGCCCATGAGGAAAGAAAGCTTTCTGGTCCACCACCCTATTCCAAAAAGCAGCACACATTTTCTGAATAAGTTGTTTCTGTGGTGTCCTCCCCTCTTTCCTCATTATCTTACCCAAACCCTCAAGAAATCTGGGAATATTCCCTTTCCCACTCCTCTCCAATTTTGTCCTTTCCCATCTAGCTACCATTGATTTTTCTCTGTGCATTTTGTATGGCAGCAGAATGAAAGATCCTGCGCTTTTTTTTTTTTTTTAAAATCAATCCATAGCATATTAAGGTGATGCACTTCTCTGTCTTTACCAAGCACATCAAGCCCAAGTACTTTTTGTCATGCCACAGGAGCAGGCTTTGGAGACTGCTGGATATCAGAGAACAGTAGGAGAACCAATTAAGAAACACGAGTGATTTTTCTTTTCCTGTGGATCAATGCTGTTGAATTCCCACAATGAGCAGTAGCATGCTCAAAGGGAACATCTGTGTAAAAGGAAATGTCCGCTTCAGCGATACCCACAATATTCTCCAATGAGCAGCAACACAGTACAGGGAATTGGAACAAAATGAGGTTACTTCTAGCTCAAGAATGTTACATTCTGCAACATTCAGAGGTGACAGAGAAAGACAATTACCAGCCTAGAGGCTTCTACTAGCAAGTCTCGGCAAACAGCATCCCCCTGAAGCACAGCTCTTCTGGAGAGAAGTCATTACATCAAAACTCAGTGGATTTATTTTCAGTGTGTACTCATAGTTGTACCTGGTCATTTTCAATACCCAAAAGTACTGCTATTATTTCTTCTACCCAAGTAGAGCTAAAAGGCTACGATTTAAGTAAGCTGTAGTTTGCACATTACTTATCAACAAAAGTGTTGGTGACAATGTATGATATGGGAATAATCCAGCCCAATGGTCACACCCACAGCTGAGTTTTCAACACCAGCAATTGACACGTTCTGTTCCTTAATAAAACAAAGGAACTCCATAAATGGATTGCTATCAAAATTAAAAGACAAAAATCTCTTTGATGACTCTTCTTTATGAAGCAAACAGGACAGGAAGAGAAAACTGTTTCTGTGCTAAGCCTCCAAAAAAGCAGTAGCTGAATTGCTCTTATACATCCTTCATTTGTCAAGTATTACAACCACAAAGGCTCCCTCAAAATCCCAGAAAAGCATTAGTTTGAGAACAAATACTTTAGAAAATTATGATGACTATAAATCCCCAGCTTAAGTAAAAAAAGCCATCAGTTTCTGAGGAAATTCAGAATTCACTACACAAGAGTCTGTATTTTCATGTAATAACCGACAAGTTATTTCAGGAGTTTAGGAGTAGGGGGAATACAGCCGTCTGCTAAGAAACACATTATATGCATATAAAAAGTATATGCAGAGGAAGTTTAACCCAGACCACACTTCCACCGTAACCCGTCCTTCCCGCAAAACCACAAAGCCTGCCACGTGTATCCCAAATTGTTCCTCCACCTCTGATTTCATGTAAGCATGGAAATGTTTCCCAAAATCATCTTTTGATGACTGTTATTTGTATTTTTCATTACCCAGAACTCCTGCCGCTGCACTGTCCAAAGTTCCACCATGTCCAATTTTCAAAACCTGTTTTCTTTTGTTCCCATTTGTTTGCACACCAGCTTCTGCAAATAGAAATTGAAAGGATTCATTATAGGATAACCTTAGAACATAGGAAAACCAGCACATATTTCTAGACTGCTAAAGGAGATAAAAACCAATTATTTAAACCATGAATTAGTGGTGCAGAAATTGCTGTATTGAATAAGACCGATGATTCATCTAGATCTACTCCCAACCTCAAACAATTTGCGAGCTATTTTCACTTAGATTCTAATCAAGTCTTATGTACTGCCATAAACAGATGTTCAGAAAATACTAGTAGAAAACCTGTCGGACAGTTCATCTGTGAAGTTTCATCAACAAAGCATGCAAGAACGAGCAGCAGCGTCCCTGAAGCCACCTATTATACACAAATCTGAGCAATTCTTGTTGTATTTACTTCCATCAAATGGATCGTGTTTATTCACGTGTACGCAGCCGTATGGAAACTCTCCCAACGAACTCAACTTGCTCACTGCTGCTTTCAAGCTCTCAGAGCATCTCAACCCACCATAATTCCTATGCAGCTGAAGACTCCAGGAATTTTGCAGAGTCCAATGTCCTTTATTTATTAGTATTAAATATGACAAATGCTCTAAGATCCCTTACCTGTTCCTATTATCTCTTCATTACACCCTTCCCATCAGGGAATCAGACATGGTCCAGCTACATCTCTTCCATACAAAGCTGAATTGAAGCCCATGCCTATGCTACAGCTCACTACAGAGTAAATCAGCCTGAATAAGCTCTCTCCAGTCTGAAAGTATGTTCTCACTTCATCAGCAAGTGTCCAAAAAGCCCAGATTAGATGATCAAGTCCCCATATCCATTACAAACAGACTCTAGGCCAGAGTCCCTCACACCTTTGCAACAATCATACTTTTTTCCCTAATATCTGACAGCCAGGCTTCCCTGTATTCAGAAAAATCTGCAGACTGCGCCCAGGACTTTCAAACTCCTCCAAACACGGTGGTTTTCACTCATTTGGTGATTTATTATTTTTTTTTTTTTATAACAGCAATAGGCAGTGGGGCTGAAGCAGAGCATCCTGGCAGTGCGGTGCTGCAGCGATGCTGCCGACGCCCATCCTGGCAGATGGGTGCATGTTGTCCCCGGCACCACGCTCGACAGCTCTCCAAGCAAGCTGGTGTTGTGCACTGCAGGACTGGAGCTTTCTGCTGGGGCAAATCTCGTCCCCCTTCAAAACGAAGGCTCGCATCGTGCCGTACCTTAGGCAGTAACAGGCGCCTGCCCCAGCTAAGCAAGTGGTGAGTACGGCCTCACAGCTCGCCGTGACCAACACACTGAGCCTTGCAGGCAGGCAGCAGCTCCGCGCAGCCAGCCAGAACGTATCCAGGAGTGGCTCCATCCCCCAACCTGGGCCACGCCTCGGCTGTGAACCACCACCAGAGAAAAAAAAAAAAAAAAAAAAAG